TACAACCAAATAAATATCTCACAGGATTTGATTCCTTGGTTTGGTAGTGTAGGATCGTAGTTTCATGGGACATCCCTGTTAATTGGCTTAATATCATGTTTATTGCTTCTGTTCTACCTCCTACTTAGATGTGTACTGTCTAGGGTATTAAAAACTTGCAATGGCTATCCAATTGGTCTTCATTCTCCTGGAGCAACAGAAGAGGAAAGAGAATCAGGAATAGAAGGAATAAATGGACTGTGTGACTAATTTCCTCCATAAACAACTGCCTCCTTTGCCACAAGAATTGAATGGTTCCCAGCAACAATTACTGTTCATTGTGACCAAAGTTCTCTAGAAGAATCCTGATCAAAAGGGGAAAAATGCAGAACAGGATTTCAAATTCTCATGAACTCCAGATTTCCAGGAGCCATGGAAGTTGTATAAAATGCCTAAAATGATATCTATGAGTTAATATTTAAACTTTAAACCAAAATATATCTTGCAGTTTTCATAAAACGAAATAATGATTTAGCTTAACTAATAAAGAATGAAATACTATCCTAGGCATTAGTGAGCTGAAATGGACTGATATTGGCCATTTTGAATCTGACAATTATATGGTTTATTATGCTGGGAATGGAAAACTGAAGAGGAATGGCATCACATTCATCATCAAAAACAAAAACAAAAAACATTTCAAGATCTAACTTGAAGTATAATGCTGTCTGTGATAGGATAATATCCATATACTTACAAGGAAGTTCAGTTAATACCAATATTATTCAAATTTGCACACCAAACACTAATGATGAAATTGAAGAATTATACCAACTTCTTAAGTCTGAAATTGATTAAACATGCAATCAAGATGTATTGATAATTACTAGTGACTGGAATGCAAAGGCTGGAAACACAGAGGAAGGATCAGTAGTTAGAAAACAATGGCATTGGTGATAGATAAGATGCTAGCGACCACATGATAGAATTTTGCCAGACCAATGACTTTTTCACTTCAAATACCTCTTTTAAACAACATAAAAGGCATCTGACATGGCCTTACCGATGGAATACACAAAAATGAAATTGTTTATATCTGTGGGAAGAGACTGTGGAAAAGCTCCATATCATGAGCCAAAACAAGGCCAGGGCAGAATGTAGAATAGACTGTCATATGCAAGTTCAGGTTGAAGCTGAAGAAAATGAAAACAAGTCAACTAGAGCCAAAATTTGACCTTGAACAGATCCCACCTGAATTTAGAGATCATCTCAAGAGCAGATTTGATGCATTAGACACTAATGACAGAAGACAAGAAGAGTTGTGGTGTGGCATCAAAATATCATACAGGAAGAGAGCAAAAGGTCATTAAGATAAGAAAGAAGGAAAAGAGCAAAATGGATGTTGAAGTGATACTGAAACTTACTCTCCAGTGTAAAGAAACTAAAGCAAATAGAAAAAGATGAGGAAGTAAAGCTGAATAGAAAATGCCAAAGGGCGGATCCAGAAGACAAAGTAAAATATTATAATGAAATGTGCAAAAGTCTGGAGTTTGAAAACCAAAAGGGAAGAACACATTCAGCATTTCTTAAGCAACTGAAGAACAACTTCAAGCCTCAATTTGCAATGTTTAAGAATTCTATGGACAAAATACTGAGTGATGCAGAAAATATCAAAAGAAGATAGAATGCCAAAAAGAAACGGACAATGTTCAAAGAGGTAGTATATGATCATGAGCCAATGTTATGATCAGTCCAAGGTGCACTGAAGGTATGGACAAACAACAAGGCTCTGGGAATTGATGAGATACTAAATGAAATCTTTCAACAAACTGATGCAGCACTGGAGACACACTCATTCACCTATACAAAGAAATTTGGAAGATAGCTACTTGGTCAACTGATTGGAAGAAACCCATTATTGTGCTCATTCCAAAGAGAGGTAACCCAACAGAATCAGGAAATCATCAGACAGTATCACTAATATCACATGCAAATAAAATTTTGCTAAAGATAATTCAAAAACAGCTGCAATAATAAAACATTGACAGGGAACTGCCAGAGGTTCAAGTTGGATTCAAAGGAGAATGTGGAATGATTGCTGACAACAGATGGATCTTAGCTAAAATCACAGAATACCATAAAGATGTTTACCTGTGCTTTACTGACTATGTAAAAGCTTTCGATTGTGTGGATCATGACAAGCTATGGACAAAGTTGCAAAGAATGAGTATTCTGGGACACTTAATTGTGTTCATGAGGAACCTGTACATAGACCAAGAAGGAGTTGTTAAAACAGAGCAAGGGAACACTGAATGGTTAAAAATTAGGAAAGGTTTGAGCCAGGGTTGTATTCTTTTACTATATGTATTCAGTCTGTATGCTGAGTACATAATCTGAGAAGGTGGATAATCTTAAAAAGAACATTGCACCAGAATCAGAAGAAGAATTATTAACCATCTGTGATGTGCATACAGTACAACCTTGTTTGCTGAAAGTGAAAAGGACTTGAAATATTGATGAAGATCCAAGAGTACAGCTTTCAGTATAAGTTGAACCTCATGTAAATAAAACCAAAATCCTCACTACTGGACCAATAATAACATCATGATAAATGGAGAAAAGATTGAAAATTTCCAAGACTTCATTTTGCTCAGATCAACCATTAACACTCAGGGAAGCATCAGTCAACAAATCAAGCAACATATTGCCTTGGGCAAATCTGCTGCGCAAGACCTCTCTAAAGTGTGCAAGTGCAAAGATGTCAAATTTGAGGACTAAGGTGCAACTGATCTGAGCCATGGAATTTTCAATAACCTTATATGCATGTGAAAGTTGGACAGTGGATAAGGAAGACAGTAGATGAATTGATGCATTTGAGTTATGGTGTTGGAGAAGAATATTAAAAGTACCATAGACTGCTATGTTGTTGTTAAGTGCTTCTGAGTTGGTTACAACGCATAGTGACCCTGTATAGGTTTCAGAGGAGCAGCTGATGAGCTTGAACCACTGACCTTACAGTTCAAACCGACTTTGCAGTCCAGCACCACACAACTCCCATGGACTGCTATAAGAACAAACAAATCTATATTGGAAGAAGTACAGTCAGAATGGCAAGATTTCATCTCTTATACTTCAGCCATTTTATCAGAAGGGACTAGTCCTGGGAGAAAGACATCATGCTAGGTAAAGTGGAAGGTCAGAGAAAAAGAGGAAGACCCCTAATGAGATGGACTGGCACATTGGTAGTAACAATGGGCTCAAGTTTAACAACCATTGTGGGCATGGTTCAGGACCTGACAGTGTTTCATTCTGTTGTACATAAGGTCGTCGTGAGTTGGAACCAACTTGATGACACCTAACAACAACAGTAAAGAATGTCTGTATTGAACATTATGCTTTAAAACAAAGAACCAGCGATATGAGGTCCTGGAACACTGGTGATGCTGAAGAATAAGCACTAGGCTGCTAACCACAAGGTTGTTGATGTGAACCCACCAGTTGCTCTGCAGGAGAAAGATGAAGCTTTATGTTCCTGTAAAGATTTACAGGAGAATCCTCTACAGGTCGCTGAGTCAGGACCAACTTGACAGCACCTAACAATAACAAGTGCAGCCAGAGTCCTCCTTGGAGGCCAAGATGGCCAAACTTCATCTCTCATACTTCAGACATATTGTTAGGAGGGACCAGTCACTGGAGAAGGATATCATATTTGGTAAGGTGGAGGGTCAGAGAAAAGGAGGAAGACCCTCCAACAAGATAGATTGGGCAAGTGGCAGCATTGATGGACTCAAGCATGGCAACAGTGGTGAGGTTGGCCCAGGATCGGGCAGTGTTTCGTTCTGCTGTGCATAAGGTCACTATGCATCGGTACTGACTTGATGGCCCCAAACAATAACAACAACATATGAGATCCCACTGACAACAGCAACATGAAAGATTCAGATAAGAGCCTTAGGGTTTATGTTTATGTTAATGGGGGAGGAATAACTCAGAAAAGGAGGGTGGGGATTGTTGCACAACTCTAAAAATGTAATCGGTGTCAGTGAATATACATGTTGAATTGGTGGTGTATGTTTTGCTGTGTCTATTTTCATATTCTCAACAACAATAAAATAAATAAAAATTAAAACTCTATGGGGACTTCTACTTTGCTACATGAAGTTGATTTATGAGTTAAAAATCAACTCGATGGTATCCAACAACAACAGGTAGGTGCGTGCACACACATACTCTTACATATTTATGGAGGTATAACAAATATTGTAAATTTCACTAATACATATACATCTATATGCAAACTTCTTTAACAAATTTATCTATAGTAAACACCACAGTATATGTGAAATTAATTGATTTAGTCATCCATTGAACCTAAATCTGTATTTTCCACGGTAATTTAGGAACTCAACACACATACATATTTTAATCATACCATCCTCATCTATCTCCCCTATGGTAAACAAAATTACAGTTTTTTGCAGTTTCTATCAAGAGATGGGGTCTTTTTTCATTCTTTGAATCTGGGTAGACTTTGTAATTTGCTTTCTCTACTAGAAAGAGGCAGGAGCCATGTAATATTCATTTTCAGCCTGGGCCTAAGGAGATTTGCATTCTTTTCTTGGTACCTAACAACAAGAAGGAATCCACCATATGAAGAAGCCTGGGTTATCCTGCTGGAAGGCTCAGTGAGGTCATTTTAGACTAGTTTGCCCTCATGGGGACTCAGTAGCTACCCACAGATACTAGCGGAATTCAGTCAAGCCCAGTCTGAACTGATATAATAGCTAGTTAAGCTCAACTCCAGTTCACAAACCATAGTATCATGAGCTAAACAAATGATAGTTGTTATAAACCATGAGTTTTTAGGTAGTTTGTAGCATAGCAAAAACTAATTGATTTAAATCATTATTTTTACCTGAAAGAATAAAATTTTAGGAGAATATTGCCATTTCAGGGTCAATGTTAAACTCACGACTTCATAGTATATGTTCAATAAACACTTGATAGATAAGTCAGCTTACCTTAATGGGATTCCTATAGAAAGACTGTTTGCCAGAAGATGGAAATGACATTGCAATAATGCGGTCTGGAAGCAAAAACAATCACTATATATGTTATTATGGTTGTGAAATAATGTAAAAAATATAACTTACATATAGATTTCTTTTTCAGAGACAAGTTTTGTTTTTTTTTTGTTTTTTTGTTGTTGTTTTTACAAATAAGTATAATTGTTTATTGGCTATCTTTAAGACTCCAGGTAGAGCAATGGTTAAGTGATAGGCTGCTAAACAAAGTTTGGTAGTTCAAATCACCCATGCTTCATGGGAGAAAGATGTTATTATCTGCTCACATAAAAAGTGTCCTTATGAGATGGTTCCACTCTGTCACATGGGCTTGCTATGAGTTGAAATTGGACTGTCAGAAACTAACAACAACATTGAACTACAATAAGTTCTTTAAAAAAATGTCCAACATAGGACAGATAATGTAAAGGAAACTGAAATTAACAATAGAATGTACACTTGTCAATAATAGGAATCTTTTTCTGTTTATTCACTGATGTGTTCAATGTGTCTAGACCAAGTTTAACTCCGAGTGTTGTTGTTGTTATGTGCGATGGAGTCGTTGCTGACTCATAAGGACCCTGAACAGGGTTTCCGAGGCTGTAAATCTTTATAGGATCAGAAAACCTCATCTTTCTCCTGCAGAACAGCTGGTAGTTTTAGATTAGCAGCTCGATTTGTAACCACAATGCTACCAGAGCTCCTTAACTAAGTAGGTGATCAACACATATTTTTCAACTCAGAGTAGGTGTTCTATATATTGTTGTTGTTGTTATGTGCCGTGGAGTCGGTTCTGACTCGTAGCGACCCTGCACAGGGTTTCCGAGGCTGTAAATCTTTACGGGCACAGAAAGCCTCATCTTTCTCCCATGAAACAGCTGGTAGTTTCGAA